ATGATACTAGTGTGGAGACTTCTCACCGACCTTTTCACCGTAGTTGGGGATATGTCGGGTGTCATTAATTCACTCAAAACGATCAACCGTCAACTTTTCGATTCGGTTTGAAAACCATGCAATATTTTACAGCATAGAAAGACGAGCTTAAAGAAGATTTTGCTTGTAGGCTATAGAAAAAGCCGCACCATAAACGTAAACCCGTCCGTCTCCACCAGCTCATCTAAGTGATCCGAAGTCTGCTGTTTCATATTGCATGTCGTTCGTCAATGACAATTCCATGTTGTTGAGTTGACATTTCTGAGCCAGGGTTCCAGGGTAACGGAACCTCTGCAGATCATTGTCCCGGCACGGCAAAAGCTTCTTACACGTGGGTGTGAAGAGGGAATTGTACATTTGGGCGTGTGTGTTGCAGTCGCATTTGGTTGCTAGTGGCCGCAGAGCCTCGGTTTCCGAGGATGTAGACTGCGAAGATTCTGCCCCGAGCCGTACGGACAGTTGCACAAGACTTGCGCCCTGAATCCTCCTCACGAATCAACTCTCCGATACTGGGATATCGTGCTCATTACCTTGGTCAGTCAGACCGGTGGGATTTTCCAGTTACAATGGCGAGCCTGCGCGACAGGAACCCAGTCTGCCCGACCTAGGTGTTCCAGGGTCATAGCTCCAACTCAAGAGAGCTTATCCAGGGCGTCAGCACGGATAGTGTCGATCATAGCTGACGTTGCCGGGCTCTCGGACGCTGAAATTGCACATCCAGGCGAGAAGACCTCGACCAGTGCGGATGTAAGTTGAGCGGAATAGGCCAAGCTTGCCAGGGCGCTTGGTTCTTTCTCGGACGGTCTCGCCGGCTACTCAACGGAGCTACCCCGCGTTGCCCCTCTTTCCCAAGGAAGTTGAGAAGAAGTCTAAAGAGGGTTCCGCCGACGACGAGGAGCTGCACGGGATGCCGGTGGGAATTGCCTGCCACGGCCCATGACATGGGAAATCCGCCTCGGCGTCGCTTTCGTTGTGGGCATGAGATATGCATTCCGAGTAGCATATGATAGTTGATGAAGGACAGACTTTAGAAGCGAGATAGTTCCCGTCACGAGTTCCGACTGGAGGGACGAGAGGCTCAAGGAGTTAAGGGCGCAGTCATCCAATCGCCAGGCGGCGGCTCGGACATTAAAATCGGGTTAGCTGTTGAGGGGCTGCATTAACCTAGATCAAACCTTGATTCAACAGTGTGCCGTGGACATGGGGACCGGTGAGACGCGTGTACGATCGTCGGCCCTTACTCATGGTGAAAGTTGAGGCCGGGAAACTTGGCTTGACTGAGATGCGGGACCGAGATGGCGGCGCCGTGGCGGGCAAGCACGGGAGGTGGGATGCAGTTGCATTGCAGACATCTCCCGAGATCGAACATCTGCTATGCTGTGAACCCTTTCTCTGGGCCTTCTGAGCCTCTAGATCTAAGCTGTCAACGCCAAGGCGAGCACTCATAGCGCCAAGATGGTCTTCTTAACGCCAAGTCGTTTAGCCAAAGTAGCTGCAAACTTCAAGGACTACAAATGCTCAGCTCTTGCCCCTGGATACCATCTCTTTCTCTACCGTGGGAATTTCTCATCTACAGCCATGTTTAGCCTGACCTGAAGATGTTGCTCACTCTACAGCAACAAGCTTCTACGACCTTACTCAGCGCAGAGAAAGATCATCTCAACATCAGGCGCAAGCAGCTTTGCATTGCCAGCCGGCGCTCCAAACTTTGTCCGTTCTCGATCAAAGCTTATTCTAATGCTCTTTGAAAGTTTTCAATTCTTCCTCGATCTACAAGGCCTGGCTTATCATTATTGACTCGACTAACATCCAAGGTGCTAGCGGGCGGGCGCTCGAAGATAGTCTTTTCGAGCAGCCCAACCTCGGACGGGAAGTAAATGCGAGTGTTCGAGAGAAGAGTCCCAGAAGCGAGATATATCCTAGCATCATCAACCATCACCACTTGGAACGGAACATCCGGAATAATCACCTTCTTTTCGTCCCATGTCTTGCAGTCGTGGTCCATAGAACCTGCTCGAGCTGTCATGGGGTCAAAGCGATTACGCAGCCCGCCCAACTGACCCCTCATGATCGTCTATGCCCTGGGCAGTGCACCTCGGATTCTGCTCCGGCTTGAGCTCGTTGATCCCAATTACCAGGGCAAGTGAGAGTCAATTCACGCCTGCTGCCTACTATCGACCTGTCGGTATGGTGGCCCCTGGAACTTTCCGTAGAAGCTGCCAGGAACGAGTTTAAACTCTTCCGAAATCAGGTTTTCGTACAACTCTTTTTTAGACGGAGCTGCTCAATCTATTTGGCTGGACTCTTGAAATCATACTCAGGAAGTGTTAGATTTGGTACCTCTGCGGGAGGTCTGATTGCTTACTCTTGCGGCAAAGAAGCAAAGCAAAAACAGGCTAACAGACATCCGTAGTCGCGACGGAGGGGCAGAGCTAATCTGTGATCATAATTCACTGGATTAAGACAAGAGAAACTGTGCCATAAGTTTCAGTTTCCTGGAGGTTATCGTAAGGGGGAAAAGACACAAAGAAGGCGCAAAAGAAAAAAGACATCACCTCATGCCAGGGCGGAATTTAACCGCTATAACTCCCCGAGGTGGGCTCGAACCACCAACCTCCAGATTAACAGTCTGACGCGCTAGCCAATTGTGCCATCGGGGATATGAGATATGATTGGATGATAATCATGACTCGAACAGATGCTCAAGAAGGCAAGTTTGCTCCACCTCTGCGCTTGGCCTCAGCTCCTGCCAAGCTCCTTTCGCCAAAGTGATCGCGATATAGGCAGCTCGCGTCAAAAGGAAAAGAGGATAAGAAGCAGCGTACCTTTGAGACGTTTGAGGATGCATGTGCCCTAAGCCTTCACATCGTCTCACAGAAAATTTCCGGATTACGGCGATTGGAGAGAAGTAACGCTTCACACCAAACTCTCCAATTGAGAATAAGCTTTCTTGATGAACACTTACTTATTGGTTGGTATGTCAAACAAACCCACTGATCTCACCATGAGTCTTGATGATCACTCCTTGATTGAAGGCGCGGATAAATTTTGAAATATTATGTCGATGAGAAAATGAAGTCGACTGTGTCTCTTGTTTTTGTTCTACATAACGTAGAAAAAGATATGGAGGCTGCTCCTGACTGGTCAACCATAGAACGTAGAAAGCTTCATGTCACCATCAATTTTGATCTTTCTTTCGAGGTGTCCCTGAGGCAACGCCTAATTTGATGAGGCTTTCATCTTCACGATTGCAATCACCAAACCTCTACTCTAATAACCCTGGTTCTCTCATCCGCAGTCAGGCTCGACCTACGTAGCAATAAGAACCTCTACATCTGCCAAGACCCTTCGTGCAGCTACGCCACCAATTTTCCACCACTGGCGTCGATTCCCCTCATTCCAGGCTCAACCCCGCGTAGGTCATCACGCATCATGTCTTCGGGTTAACATCGCCCGCAAGCGATCACTCAAAATACTCTTCAAGAGTGCAGTCTCACCCTCCTCGCCAGAAAAGTCGGCTTTCCATCAATCCCTTTAACCGATCCGTTCCCCCTCCCTCGCAATAATGTCACTATCTGACCACGTGCAAAAGCTCACCAGCACTCTCGAGCAAGCCAAGCTCGTCCCTGGCTCGGCGGCAGTGCTGATATCAGAGGGCTTCAAGCCGACGACAAAGCTTGAGGTCTCGTTTGCGGACAAGGCCGTCGACGCGGGTAACTTCTTCCGCGCGGGCGAGTGCAAGCTTGCGCCCAGCATCTCGTTCGCGGCCGAGGAGGGAGCTGAGTCGGGTGCCTCGTACACACTCTTCCTGACGGACCCGGACGCGCCCACGCCGGACAACCCTCAGTTTGCGTTCTGGCGCCACTGGGTTCTGCCCGGGCTGCAACCGCTCAGTGAGGGTGCAGTCGTCGCGCAGACAAAGCCGGCGTTGACTGACTTTCTCGGACCTGGACCCAAGGACGAGTGAGTAGACAGACACCTCTCCGCACGACTCACCTGGCCATGATCTCAATGACTTGTGAGTTCACTTGAGGTGACCTTGCTGATTCTGCTATTCTCCCAGCTCAAAGCCGCACAGGTACCTCTTCCTGCTCTACCGGGAACCCCAAGGACTAGATCTCAAGAAGGAGGACGTCGGCGGGGAGGAATTCGTGCAGAGGCGCTCATGGAAGCCTGCTGAGTTCGCCGACAAGCATGGCTTGAAGCTCGTTGGAGTGAACTGGATGACCTGCGCTGGCGATGGCTGGACGGAGTGAGGCATAATGGCCGGTTTGCGAGGCTGATGCAGTCAGGAGACTCAACACCAGGGCAAGCTGAGTCAGTGAATGGTCACCACAAGACGGTACCGTTCTTCAAGCTATCTGGATCGAAGCTTCACACCATCAGCTGCTCGAATAGCGGTTCTCAACACTCACTGATGATTGAGGATGCAGTAGCAAGCTTGCATCAGCGGCGAGATTCAGCGGCATCGTCATCGAGAATCATCGTGAAGCTGGTCCTATAGTCTAGTTGGTTAGGACGTCGGATTCTGATTAAAGTATGATTAGACCCTTCCGTAGGCCCAGGTTCGAATCCTGGTAGGACCTGTATCTTTTGCTCTCAATTGATACCTTTCCTTTTGCTGCTTACACGGATAATGGGACTGAAGTCGAAGCTCTACGCTGCGTGTGTTGAAAGTTGTAGGTGTTCAGTGTTAGAGTTTGCTGTTGCTTAATATGCCATCCGTAACAAAAACCATGTCTTGCATGCTTGCTTGGATTGTACCTTAGTGGTCTGTGCCTGAGCCACGGTGCTCCGTGACCCCTAACTGGCCGCTGCGATCTGAATCCCAGTGAGCGTGTCCCTGAATCGACGCTAATTATTTGCTATTCACCCGCCAAATTTGTGACCCAAATTGAATTTCGGACCACTTTACTGGCACTCCAAGACGCGTCTTCTCGTCGCGTCTCCCAAACATCACCATGATCCAACGTCGCCTAGTCCGTCGACAAAGCTCACTCGCGGCAGCCAAGAAGATTTTGGCACAAGTCGACAGCGAGCCAGACATCGAAATCAAGAAGCCGGCGTCTAGATCACGTTCGGTAGCTACCAAAAAGTGTGCGCCTGTATCACCACCGGCATCCAAGGACGCGTCGGAAGAAGACTTCAACCCAACTCTTCAAGACGACGACGGCGACGATGTGAAGGACGCCATTGAGCCGCCGCCGCCAAAGAGGCGCAAGGTCGAGAAGAACCCCAAAGCTCGAAAAGCAGACACCGCGAAACTCCATGCGCGTCTCTTCGGCCCGCCGCAGCAGCAGCTGGCGACGCAGGATGCCTGCTGCTCGCCCACTGCATCAAGGACGCACGCCACCTCCTACCACCGTCCCCTCCTCCTAGACGGTCAGCCTGGCCGGCGCGGGCGCGATGCCCTCCTCAGCTGGTTCGACTCCATCAGCACAACCCGCGGCATGCCCTGGCGCAAACCCTGGATCGACCCTGCAAAGACCTCGCCAAACGACGTCGCCGACCTCCGCTGCGCCCTCGAAAAGCGCGCCTACGAGGTTTGGATCAGCGAAATCATGCTCCAGCAGACCCGCGTCGCCGTGGTAATCGACTACTGGAATAGATGGATGGCCCGCTGGCCCACTATTCAGGACCTCGCGGCCGCCGAGCCCGAGTACGTGCTGAGCGCCTGGCGCGGGCTGGGCTACTACAGCCGCGCCACGAGGATTCATGAAGCGGCGAAGCTGGTCGTCGCAGACCCGGATTGGCGGGGTCTGATGCCCTCCGACACGGCCGAGCTCGAGGCCAAAGTCCCAGGCGTGGGCCGGTACACGGCCGGTGCCGTTGCTGCCATTGTGTTCGGCGAGGCGGCGCCCATGGTTGATGGGAATGTGCTTCGCGTGCTGAGTAGGCAGCTGGGGCTATATGGGAATGCCAAGACGGATAAGGTTGTCATTGATTTGCTATGGGCAGCTGCAGATGCGCTCGTCAAGGCCGTTGCAAAGGACGGACCCGACGAAGATGGTGCTGGGCTTGCTGAGAAGGCGCCGCTGAGTGACCGTCCTGGACGATGGGGACAGGCCTTGATGGAGCTCGGGAGCACCGTCTGCACGCCGAAGCCAAATTGCGGCGAGTGCCCCATCACCTCCACATGCCGTGTGTACGCAGAGGGTCTCCAAATAGCAGCCAAGAAGTCGAGAAAAGCGGCTGAAAAGGTCGAGGATATTGAGGACCTGTGCTCAGCCTGCGAACCTTTTGAAGAAGCCGCCGCAGATGAGACCACGCTCTCTGAAGAAGATTCTGAAGCCGAGTCGCTCAAGCGGAAGCCGGTAAAAGGGGCTAAGAGGGGCGTCAAGACGCAATCGGGGCCGAAGCAGGCGACTTTATCCGCCTTCTTCTCGTCGAAGACGGCAAAGAAGAAGGAGGAAGACGACGAAAAGCAGTCCAATTTTTCCCAGATCGATGCAAGAACGCTGGAAATTATCGCAGAGCACGCTCGAAAATTCCCATTAAAGGTGGTCAAGAAGGCAGTCAGAGAGGAAGAAGTCCTTGTCTGCGCGATCCGGCGCAGCGACGATGGTCGGTTCCTTATACATCGGCGCCCAGAGAAGGGGCTTCTCGCTGGGTTGTGGGAGTTACCTAGCCACACGCTGCCGTCTACCAGCGGCAAAACCACGACGTCGCGGAAGAAAGACGCTCAAGGATATATCTCGGGACTCATTGGTGGTGGCGACAAGAAGTGGAGGCTGAGACATGCCGGGGAGCTCGGTAGTGTGCCGTGGCTGTTTTCTCACCTGAAACTTACGATGCATGTGCATCTCTTCGAGGTAGACGGCTCTGAAGACCTCGTCTCGTCACACGCGCGGCATCGATGGGCTACGGCTGAGGAGGTTGATGAAGAATCTATGGGGACTGGGATGCGCAAGTCCTGGGCCTTGGTGAGGGAGAGGTGCGAGTAGTGTATGAAAGGACTAGCCCGCGTTATGCACCGGCAACTGTAGTTCCCAGCACAGATTCTCAAATAAGCCATAAGACCCTGCCCTATTCAAAAGGTTACTTGATCTTAGGTAACTACGATTCGAAAGTTGCATGAGATGTGCCATTGCATTTGTGGAACCGCTAGCTTCCAGCCCGCAACAATGCCGTCCTTATCAAAGCAGCTCAAACACTATCTCAGAATGACACAAAATTTCCTAAGCGATACTAAAGGAACGTATCCTCCTTCGTGCCTCATTGTTCTTCTCGATAATTGTTTCAACGAATACGACAGTGAACGAACGTGAAATCTTGGGCCTGGCGGTCTCATGCTTCTGCATTCCTTAGCACAACATTGATTAATTAAGTAAGTACTGGGTTGTAGATTGCTGCCAAGTTCCTAGGTGACTGCACCGGAGGCCGCTTGGCTGTCCTCATCGAGTGCGAGCGTACCGGTGCCTCAGAATGTGAAACTAAAATAGTACTTGTAGATATACTTTTGCATCCAGTCATCTCATCATCCCTGAGGAAACAATGGGGAAATTCCCAACGTAATCGTGAGGCACAATTTGTTTTGATCACGGCTGCAATACATGCTCTCAAAGACTACATGTAATCATTAGCCTTATGCCAGCTCACAAGTGGGCAACGGCATTTTCATGCGCTGCTATGTGGTGAAATCCAGGAAATCCTGCAGAGATCTCCTCACCAACAAACTTCAAATATGGCCGCAACCCGCCAAAGAAGAAGTTGGTGTTGGTCTTCTTCCCGGGAATATTCTGGCTCAAAATCCAACTCGGAGTCTTGGCGAACAGAGACCCCTTCAGCATGCTGTTACACAGCTCTACCCAGTCAGACTCGGCCTGTCCCTTGGCCTCCGTGATAGTTCGCCTCCTCTGACTACATGTATGAACTGCTTTTTTGCCCAAGCTACTGGCCTTTTCGCCTTCTGCTGCCTTTGCTTCTGGGGACGAACCTTCGGCGTACTGTATAACCGACATGATGAAGTTGGCCTCACACTCCACGATGGGAGGGAAATTGGCGAAAGGGCTCTGCGGCCCAGAAATGAGAAACATGTTGGGGAAGCCAGCGCATGCAACGGCGCCGAAGGTCGTAGCTCCATCAACCCAGTGGTCTTTTAACGTACCGTTTCGACCCGTCACATGGATCCTCGTGTAGCTGCCGTCGACCGCCTCGAACCCCGTGGCGAAAATGAGCACATCGATCTCGTGAACAGTACCGTCAGTCAGCTCAACGCCATGAGGAACCAAGCGGCTGATATCGTTGGCCTGGAGGTCCACCACATCGACGTTTTCACGGTTGAAGATTTCGTAGTATCCAAAGTCGCAGAGCGGGCGTCTCGCATACGCTTCCCGAGCTTTCAGAATCTGCGCTTTACGAGGGTCCTTGACAATCTGGTCGATTTTGCCGCGTATGAAGTCACAGGCCGCCTCGTTGGCTTCTTCGTTGGTGACGATGTCGCCAAAGGCGCTGAACATGAAGCGGAACCCGTTGCCCTGGGACCACACCTCCTCAAAGGCCTGTTTTCTCTCTTCGGGAGTCGCATCGGTCGCTTTACGGGCTACCTCTGGGACTCCGAATCCCATTCTCGAGGACCAGACATTGTCCCAGATCTCGTCGTAGTTTGCGTTGATCTTTTGTCGATAGCCGGGGTCGACTGACCCCTGGCCGCTGGGCACCGAGTATTGTGCCCGTCGTTGGAATAGAGTGAGTTGACCCACGATGGGCGCAATTGCCGTCATCACTTGGACGCCAGTGGAACCGCTACCGATGATGCCGACTCTCTTTCCCTCTAGTTCGATGGTATCATCCCACTTTGCAGTGTGGCACGTGATGCCCTGATAGTCTTTCAAGCCGGGAATGTCTGGATAATTCGCCTTGGAAAGAACGCCAAGTGAGTTGACGAGGTATCGAGCATGATACACGATTCTCTCGGAGCTGGTCCCGGTGGAGGAGCACTCGATCCGCCAGCGATGTAGGCTGTCGTTCCACGTCGCCGACTGCATCTGACAGTTGAAAGCCATGTACTTTCGCAATTCGTGCTTCGCCACAACATGTTCCAGATATTTTAGGATCTCGGGCTGGTACACGTAATGGTGCGACCAGGGGTACGTTTGCAGGTCGTCCTTGTCCCAGGAGTAACGATACAGGTAGCTTTCTGTATCGCTCATGGCACCGGGATATCTATTCCAGTACCATGTGCCTCCGACGTCGCTGGCCATTTCGACGGTTTTGACTTTCATGCGCGGTTGCATGCGGGTTAGACGGTAAGTTGCGTAGATGCCGCCGAATCCTGCCCCCACGACGAGGGCATCAACCTCGATAGGCTGAGTCATTATGACAACTCAGCTCTACTATGGAATATTGTGGTAAGAATTCTGCTTCATATAGAGATTAAATGACGACGTGTGTGATATGGACAGTATTTGCACAGATAGGGGGGGTTTATATCTCGCCATCTTAGTAGATCAGAGGCTGAGCGGGGTTTACGACTATGATGGAAGATGTCATCCGCAGGCCAAGAACCTTCTGGATGGACGCATGAGATCACGCTTGAACGGTAGCATGAATGTAACCGCGGCTTTCTCGAAACGGCAAAATCGTCCAGTGAACGTTAGTCTGATCTTCATCTGGAAAGATGCACTCATGCAGTTCGACACCACCGGCGAATCGGATTTCGTCTGGAGAAACATCTGCGGAGAACGGCCCGAACCACTCTCCACATTAAGTGCGCCGAACAAGACATTAACGTGCCAGTCACCGAAGCATTCGATATCTCGTGTTTGATAGTCAAGTCACTGGTGCGTCAACTGATTTCCCGAGTTGAGCCACGTACAGCGGGTGGGGTAGGCACATGCCCTGATGCGCCCTGGTTTTCTTATAAAGATGATAAGTTTGTAGAAAAAATCCGGCAAGCAGTCCATTACGGGAATGTAATATTCATCGAGCCCAGTCTTTGTATTCTCTAACTGCACACGCCGGTAATCTGATTTGTTCGATGCTTGATGTCACACGAGGCTATTGCCGATTAGTCAACATTAGATTGATATTATTCTAATCAAAGTTGACCTGGACGACACTTGCCTTGAGAGTCCTTGCTTTTGTTTTCCCAATAGCTGCTTTAGTCACCATGTCTCCAGATTGACGACCTACCGCTCGAAATCATAGTATAACGCTAGCTAAGCAGCATTAGCCAGTCGAGTGTTCAGGCTTGAGATAGCACTCATTGTGAACCACTTGCTGGCCGTGGCCATTAGAGTTTGGCGTTTCAGGATCCCATGGTTCACCACCGCTGATTATTGGGTACATTCCCTGCACAGTTGCGATAAAGAGAAGTTGAAAAACATCAAGCACCGCGGGATTCCAGTCAATGTCTTCTTTTTGGGAGCTTGTATCTATCTATCTACCTAGCAATCTAACTTTCAGAGCCATCCCCCCGTTAGCGAGCCTTGAACCTGAGGGCAGAGCTATGTATGATCGGGTTCTATCTACAGTCATGCCTTTCGTAGGTGTGTTGTGAGGTTCATGGAGTCTATACAGGACAAAAAGGATGCAAAAGATGACCGTTGAGGTCAGAAGAACAAGGTGATCCAAAAGGATTGGGCCCTAACCAGGATTCGAACCTGGGACCTCTCCCAGATGGTTGAATCCGAAGATGCACCCTAAGGGAGAATCATACCGCTAGACCATCAGGGCGAGTAAGGGTGGAGTGGTGAACTCGATGCGTTGTCAGGGCCGGGAAGGGATTTTTGATGAGTTCACGATGTGTGGGGTGGAGTTTCGACATGGGTGGTGACGGTACCTAAGGTAGACAGTAAGAAAGTGGGGCTGAGAGGGCTGACCACACCGAGTCACCGAGTCACCGAGGCTGAGTCTTGCCGGCGAGGACCCAACAACAACGGTCAATCGAGCACAAGATACCAGCGGGTCTAGCATTCCGACGGAGCTTCAAGCCTTTGATCGTCCTGCAACCTATTTGTAGCGAAATTCCTGTGTGACATTCATGTCTATTAAATTTGATATTTTATTTCTTTTGGAATTCTTCAGAGTTCGGCGCAGTAAGTACTCCTACCAGCGCTAAAAGCACTTGACAAGAGATAACTGCAATCAACATCTACTCACGAACTCGTCTCGTAAGGCGTCGCTTCTTCAAGCTAAGAGTCCAATTTCGTTTTGTTCAGACGTTTTAGTCACTTATGCATGCTCTCTACCGCGAGGAAGATATTGAGCACTTTGAGCTTTGATGCTTACAACTGCCTTATACTTCAAGTCTGTAAATCATAGACTGACCTCATTTCCCGTCGACAGCTTCGGCTTGGCACGAACGACACTTGTGACTTGGCTGAATCGAGCTGAGATGAACATGGGGTACTCTGTACACTGAAAAGGCGACTGAGACATAAGTTACAAAATTACAACTTCCAAGAAGTCGGGCCGTAAACTTACTTGTGTTTCGCATGAGCACCGATGCTCGGTCGATTCGAAAAGCTCTCTAAAGGGGAAGCGCATGCAGTTTATTTGTGACGACCGCTGTCGTTGATGAAGCACCAAGCTCGTCGAGAGCGCGCGCACGGTCACATTTGACAGCTTTATGATGAGACTCATCCACGTGTTGTCTAGAAAACGACGTCTCAGGTCAATCCTTGTAAGAGCCATATCGTGACTCGTCGCATTTTTGGTTACCTTGGGTACCCTAGCAGATGCCAGCGCAAACGCTCTCAATGAAGTGAAATCCAGTTTCGTCATACTTGGTTGATGTTGCAATAAGCGTGTTCATGCAACATCAGCTTCATTGTCTCCTGTAATATGCACTATGCAGCAATACCAGTCTGACAGAACGTGTGCCACGTGAGGTTCTACTTCTTAGACCGCGACGAGCGCTATGATATTTGCTCGACTGAGGAATCGCGATTTACTGCTATCTGTACCGAGTTCCACTTCGGTATGTGTTCATTTGGTAGAG